AATCATATCTTCTTCCACATTCAATTCATGTATTGAACCACCCTCTGCATCTTCTACAGTACGGGATTCGAGAAAAAATGCAAAAACTCGCGGAAAGGGGGGAAAAACGAGTCTTAAGTAATTGCATATGATGTGTAACATCTGACATGTTATAGTGGTAAATTCGCAGTAGCAACTTAAATTCTGAAAAAAATGAAATGAGTATGATTGGAAATAATTTTCTATTGAATAATTATATCTTTAATGAAAATTTTATTTAATTAACACAAGGAGTAATGCAATTTTTTGTCAAAAATAATTATTCTTGCTCAATTTGGCGAAGAGTGGTAATGATAATTTATAACTAAGATATGACACACATACTTGTGTTTTCAAAGTATTTAAAAACCGTTGAAAATAGTGTCATTAACAGTACCACTGTTAGTTGTCGAAACATTTCGATTTGTGTTCATTTCGAGCTTGAGTTCATTATTCAAAAAACCATGAATGGCTCCTCGGCCTCTAGCAAACTGAACTTAACTTTAAAATCACCACTCAAAATCATGGGAAGTGAGTGATAGTTTTTTTAAAAAGGGAGAAGAACCCACTTCGGTATATGGTAAAAGTAAAAAATGCAGGAAATCTTTAATTTTTTGAATCATTTGTTTCGGAGAAATATATACGACCACCGAAATCACTGTATGTCCATTTTCAAATAAGCATTTTGCCGCACAGATGTCCCCAATATCTTGACTAACAATACCCAGTCCACTTGTTTGACGATAAGTTATATTCATATGTCGAGCCACAACATGTGAGTTGTTCTGTTTACGATAGATCGCAACAGCAGCTGCTTTGTGGCCGGTCGTTTAAATTGTACGCAACAATCGAAGTAAGGTATCGAAACACGTTCGTCATTGTCCAACCACTTCTCTGCCTAAAGGACAGCTTCTTCTCTGATCCTAAAGTGAGAAAACAAAAAAACAAAGATCCCACGGCCTAGACAGCAGGGGGGGGAAGGGGGTGATGCCCCTCCCGAAAGAAGGAGAAAAAGCAGAACTTCACTGAATAGCGCACGTTTCCCCAACTTCCTGTTACTCATTTCCGTCCCTTTTCACGAAATCGCTCCAACAAATCTCCAGCAATCGAAAGGAAAGATGTTACACTTTAAAAATAAAATCAAAATAGAAATCAAAATAACACCGCAGAAACCGCGAAAACGTACTCCTATACAGGATTCTTCAGATGAAGATGAGTATAATATTTCGGAAAAAAGATGTAGCGGAAGGCGATGCTAGACTTTGGTTAACCCCAACCAGATAAAGGAAGTGACTACTTTTAATGTCTTGTGTACATTGAATTTTGGTAATCACATCATTGGTAATTTTTTTCTAAGGTAATTACTTTTTCATAATTTTAACGAACTACTTTTAAAATTAAATTGTTTGATTACACTCATTTTTGATGCGTAATATTTTAAGTTTTCCTTTATTGATAATTTGGTACAAATAGAACTTTTATTTATGTGCAAGAAGCCATGCACACACATATATAAATATATGTAATATAAAATACACACACATATATAAATATATGTGCATGTGTGTATTTTATATTTTTTTAATACTTTAAAAATGTGTTCAAGTCAGTAATTTCAAATTTTAACTGTTTTTAAATTTTAAGCAAGAGTTTTGCGCAGTATAGCCGAAATCGGCTCTTGTGTAAAAAAAACTCCAAATTCAAACACTCACTCAATAGAACTCACCGATCGGTACTACAGCAAACTGGATTACAATCCATTCAATAATTCGAGGACAGTTATACAGGCAAAGAGTGCCGAATGGATCCCAATTATGAAAATTTTTAATGGATGCAACCATAAAAATTTTCAATGTAGTTGGCCAGTATTTCTGTGGATCATTATCCAAAGCGTCTTAAGGCCCATGTGAAGTCTAAAGGGGAACATTTTGAATAAAATTTGCGTTATGTATTAATTATAAAGGTGAAATGAAACTAAGATTTTTTAGCTATTAATTTTGATTATAAAGACATTAATGGCATCATTCATTTACAAATGTATTTGAACGACTAGGTACAATTGTAATCTTCCATTGCCTTCAGTTAATATAAGCCAAGGTATGCTTCGCTATTAATTTCCTCCAAACCTTCGCTAAGTAATTAAATCTTTCAAAGATATTTATGATTATTTATAATACTTGATTATTCATGATATTTTTCACAAGCACGAGACAAATTTAAATATTTGGAATCGTTTAATATTTCTAGGATTCCAATTGTTAATTAAATCGTTTATAAATATCTTGCACATATTAAAAATATTGCGTCCTCTAAAAATATACTTTAAACTAAATTGTAAGGGAGCTTGATTTCTACTTTTCATATCGCTGAATTAAAATTAAGAGCGATATATTATGTCACCATCTCGAAGTGTATATTGAAAAACATAGAAAAATTCCCCATTACCAAATAATAGTCCTGATTAAATAAGGATAAAACCCGAACCATATTAGACAAATATCTGAAACTCCATTATTTGGAGATATATTAGAATAAAATCTTACATCAATGACAGTTTGAAAAAATTTCTTATAGACAAAACGATAAGTTTTGAAAAATGACTAGCATCGTCCAATAATTAAAATAACTTTTAAGAAGCTGCGTTTGAAATCGAAATTCGCGGGAAAAAGATCACTTTTCATAACATTTTAGAAAGCATAAAAATATGCGAAAATTTTCAGATAGACATTACAAGAAAAGAACGGAATACTTCAAACAATACAAAAATATTTATTCTCTTAAAATAGTCAATATATAATTATATGGCCTTGGGAAAAACACTAGCCATTTTAATCGTGACTTAAAAACTCTACGTCAAATTCTTACACAACTGGTACAGTATATACATTAAAACGTTTTAATTTGAAAATTTTTCATTTCTTAAAAAAACAGTCAGTGACGTTATTTTGAATATTTTTTTTTACAAAAGATAGTCTTGTATGCAAAATTATTTTGACAGGGCGTCATGTATTGTTACTTTTATTAGCATATTAAAATTCTAAGTCACAGAATATGAATGCCCTGTTAAATTATTGATTCGTATTATTAGACAAAAAAGGAGAATGAAGCTAAAGTTAAAATCCAATGACATTAAAATGAAGGTAAAATCGCAAACTAAGCATTATTGTCATTCAATGGAGTCAGTGGCATTGAATGTTTCCGTACTTGCACGCAATCTTTCTTGAATTTCATTTACGACATTTTCAAGACGGCTTGCTATTTCACAGATTGACGAAGCCATTTTTTCAAACAATTTCAAGCAATTGATAGTTTCTCTCAGTACAGTCTCACAGTTACCCTCATAGGAACAAAAAGCGAAATCCAGTAGATTCTGAAGCATGCCTTGAGTAGGCTTCATAGCTTCAATTAAAGTGATTGCATTTGTCGTTAGCCGTTCAGCTTCATGAAAATTAGTCCTAATGTCTTGAAGTGTCACAGCTTCGAATGAAAATTCCTGAGATAAACGTTCATTGAAATCCGATTTCATTAATGAAAGTAATGGTCTTTGCTGATTGAACAAGATTTCACTATGCTCAACTTTGACGACTGCAGATTTATATTTTGAATTCCATCGAAATAAAAGAAAAGAATAGTAAGAGACTTCGCTTAAATTTCCAGGATCCATTTTTTTTATAAAGAATACTGAAACTAAAATAACCCAAGCGTTCAGCAGAACTCGGGAAAACTCTCGTATGGAAAGGGTAAACGTGTTAAAAAAATATAGTTATTTAGAATTTCACACAAAATTAAAGATATTCTCTCTCATTGGTTTAGTAGCGAATTGATGTATCACTGAATTTACAGTTATTGTTTTAAAGGTCTGGTCAACTGTTGGCGATTACGATTGATTGATTGATTGAACAAATTTTATTGGCAAAATCAGGATTGTTTGTAAATAATTTGATAGTAATATTTTACACTTATCTTTTTTCAAAAAAAAGAAAAAACTCATGATATATCAAATATTTTTTTAATCTAGATAGCATTAAATAAACAAATAACTGATAACTCGAAAAAGTTTTCATAAATTTATATCAAAAGATTACATCGCATTAAATCTCAAATATCCCTTCAATGTAAGTTATAACTTCACAAAAATAATATTTTATTTAAGTTGTTATTCAACTATTCTTTTTTTTAAAAAAAAATTTCATCCCTTTTATCTAGCCAGTATTATTAAGGTAAACTGCTAACTTGAAATAAGTAAGTTTTCATTATGATATGCATCCTAAAGACCGTTATCTAACTATCATATACTTTCACGCAGACATTTAAATGCGTAGCATTTTAATTGATTAAAATGCAGTGTCAAACTTATTGCATTGGTGTACAAAAGTGAAAATAACATCATTCAGAGTTGGCTGTTTAAAGAGGGTTGATTTTAGAAACTTCCGGGGAGTTTTTTCAATTAGAATAAGAAGTTCTGGATCATCACTTGCATTCCAGAGGTGGTCGATGTATGACATGGCACCTTATACTCCAGACTGTACCAGGGCAAAGTCTTCAGACATTTAAGATGTACATCTACTGATAAACGTCGCATCACTTGTGGCATCGAAACTGCAATATGCAACTCTATTTGAACTAAAATTACATGAGCAGCAAACTCTGGTACTTCATGCTCAGTGCAATACAAAAATCTGACAAAAATCATGAAGTGCAATGCGAAATGACTTAATCAGTTTTAAGAATATAAGTGAAACATGTAACAAATATATATAAACTCAATTCCTGCTTATGTCAACAAAGAAAATTTTATTTTATTGTCACTTTTTATTAAAAAATTACAAATATAGAAATAAATGTGTATATACATATTTCAGGATTACAATATTAAATGACAAAACAGAAAGGGAATTTCCTTTCTGTATAGGTTGTTGGACTATTATTTTTGTATTTGTTACTATTCATTATATCTTAAATGACATTTTTAGTAATCAGACCATCCCAGGTAGGATTCGAACCCACGACCTTTGGATTAAAAGTCCAACATGCTATCCGTAGTGCTACTGGGACACAAATAGCAGTTTTCATTACCAATTATGATTCTGGCCTATTAATATTTGTTTCTATTTATTCATTAATTAAATTGGATTAATGAATTAATGTTTCAAAACGTTGCATTAACATCTAGTGTCATATACTACAAGTTTAAAAAAATGCATCTAAATTTGCATAGATGAATGCATAGTATTTTACTAACGATTGAAAATTTGAAAAAGATACATACATAAAATATATATATATATAGGGAGAATGTGAACTAATAGAAGGAAGTCGATAAAAAAGATAATAAATAGAGTAAAGTTAGGTCGGCTAAAAACGGGGAAAATGCGGAATATTGCAGCACAATCAACTGATTTTGCTTGACAGTATTTGGTGTAACTTTTAATCGTGTAGCGATAAATAAAGCAATATGTAGCCATATGCAGAATACCTCCAGATTTTAAAGCACGTTTAATTGACGAGCGTAACACCCGGATTAGCATAGAAACTCTCAAAATTTCCACACCTTACAATTTTTAGACTTTGAACAATGAGAGATTTAACTCGCCTTACGTGGCTCGAGGAAGACTCGTTTCGCCAACCTCGGTTACTTGATCACGAACAATTGAAAACAACAGCCAGAAATTTGTTTGACGGGAAAGCTTTACTTTTTCCCCCCTGAATTTCATTTAGGGTATCCAATTTCCCTAAAACTAAGAATTTTACCAAATTTTGTTTATGATTTTATTTTAAAGGCCATCTTAATAGCTTTATAAAAATACCAAGTTTATCATTTTCCTTTTACTAGAACAAAAACTACAAGTGCTTTAATAAAAGCAGATGCTTTTACTTTAAGCAAAATGTCACAATTTAAAACGTGTTTTACCTGAAATGTGGTTTTTTGAAAATAATCTCACGGTGTTAGCGATTGCTAAAAAAAGTTTTGAAAATAATTAAATGTGAAAATTTTTGTGTAAGTTCTGTAAAATAGTAGAAGTGTTTTAACTTTCAGATTTATCAATCACTGTTTTATTACAAAATTTATAGTCCCTTATGTGCATATAATCAATGTTTTATTAAGCAATTTCATATAGTATCTGAGATAAAGTGCTGTAGTTTTTGAAAAAATTTAAATATCTCTTATTCTGAAGGTCATTTCGACAATGAATAACATAGCAACACATTAGAATTGAAAAATAGAAAATTTGTTTATAAACCATTGGTACAGAATGCACAACGTCTATGTTATTTTTTGTCAATTTTTAGCCATTTTTTCCCATTTTAGTACTAAGAATTTCTTTTTATCTTCTTTATTTTAGCATATTTTTCTTTAAATGTACTAAAAAAAATTTAAAAACAACAAAAAAAAAATCCACATATTTCTGTTTTTATTAAATTTTTTTTAAAGTGTCGCAACCAGTCGAATACCTTAAGACTGCAAGAATCAACTGCAAGAATCTCAAACCATAACCCCAAGTTAGAACTGCATTAAGCATTGAATATAACCAAATGCAATCGTCTAAGGTCTCTCATCAAAGCTGATGGCATGAGACGTCAAAATATTTAACCAGGAAAAATTTCAGAAATAAGGGTAAGTAAAAATGAACAATTTGCTGCAAAGAAAACAAAGACCTTCCATCAAGAGGTTATCACAAAATAATTGCCTATTTTTTTACAAAGGAATAAAAGCATTGATGACACATCAACACAAAAGCACTGTTGCGGTGGCCCTTTCATAATGGCTACATACGGATTCTAATTACAGGAATGAAAGTTTGGACAGTGAAGATATTTTGAACCACTAAAATGACCATATAATTCAAGGATTTTCCGAAAAAGCTCATCAAAAGAGAAATAGCAAGCCGAATACTTATATTAGGCTTCAGTAAAATTTTCGTGGAGTGTCAAATATGAACATATCTCAGATTCATTTTTGCGAGATGGGTAGGGAAACCAGACCAAACATTTATAAAAACATTCTTACAGTACTAATAGTGAAACCCCTGAACAAAGCGTGTTCAATTAAATTGGTTGAACTCATAGTATACTTAATTTGTTTTAGTTGCCTATAACACATAAATTCAAAAAAAATTATTACACTCCTTAAAGAAAGCTCTATATTTTCCACTTTCCAGTACTTCATATGAAGGTAGTCTGGGATCCTTTCAGAATTTAAACATTCATACAGTTTAACAAAGGCAGAATACTAAAGAAATGATCGTAATCAAATAATGACGAAAATAGAGTCAGTCAAAAGAGTATTGAGACACACTACCAGTTCATAGCTTTTATAGAAATATTTTACTTAAACATACTAAAAAAAGATCTGAATGTTATTACGGTAAATACAAATAACAATTTGAACAAAACTCTCATACTTTAATGCAATTATGGTTAAAATTGAAAATAAAAGATATCGAGTTAAAAAAGCGTGTTCAAAAAAGTACAGGGACACTTACGAATAAATTAAGAAAAAAAATCAAACTTAGAAATTAATAACTTGTTGGGTTGCCATAGCTTTGTGTGACCTATCGAAGTCTTTTTGGCATGGATTGAATCAATTTTTTGCAAAGCGCTCTATCAATTTTGGTCCACCTTTCACAAAAAGATTTTCTTAAGTCCTACTTCTTAGAAATGTGATGCTCATATAGTTTTTGCTGCAAATAATCCCACAAAAATTCAATGGCATTAAGGCCAGAACTTTGTGCAGGAGTCTTAATAACACTAGGACAGTGGTAGAGGACGCATAACTTGCAAAAATCTGCCGTGTTTTCGGGTCATTATCATGGTACAATTTAAAATGTCCTTATATTCTTAGCTTTTGCTCGCCCTTTGCCTTGAATTTCTCTTGAGAATGTCAAGGTAGATATATATTCTTTCATTATACCATCAATAAAATATAAGTTCCCGACACCAGAGTTTGCCATGCAGCCCCAGGCAATTTAACAACCCACTCCATATTTGACAGTAGGCCGTAAATTTTGACATGTATTGCTGTGTTTCATATCCGCGAAACTCTTTGCTTGTCATCCAATCTAAAAATATTATATTTGCTTTCATCAAAAAAAAATTAATCTCACAATATTCCTTTGGCTATTTTACATACATTTTTTATATGTCCACATAGATTGCCTATTTGTTTTGCTGATGTAGGGTTCTCTTTGAGGTATTCTGCCCTGATACTTATGTTTTCTCAAAACATTTCTGAAAGTTTCAAGATTTACTGATTTTCTGAACATATTTTTACATTGAAAAGTCATTTTTACTGAACTAGTTCTTGAATTAATGTGTAGTCTCACAATCTACCTCTCTTAACGTCCGTTAAATATCCTTGGACCCCCTGATCTTTGCTTGTTTTCAACACTATTTTTTTCTATGAACCAGTAAATGATGTTAAAAACAGTAAGCTTACTCAGTTTAAAGATCTTTCCTATACAGCGAACAGTGAGTTTCCCTCTTTCCATTGACTTATTACGAGATATCTACCACCAACTGATCAATCTATGTTTCTCAACACGTTTTTTTATAAATAATCTTATCTGATGAAAGTGTATGTGTTTGAACTTCTAAAATAAAAATAAAAAGTTGTCTGAAGTTAATTTATATTGATGCACTGTATATTTGTTAAATTTGTTATTTCAAAATGGTCCCAATATTTTTTTGGATCCCAGGCTTCAATTGAAATAGAAATTTGAAAAATTAGATCAAATTATAACTCTATACTATTAATTAAATTTCCTTATTTGTTGTACACCAAATATTAAAAAAAATCTTAGTTCATTTAGTATTTGTTTTAATGTAATAAATATTTTTATAAATGGATTTACAAATATGCATGCAAAGTGACCCAATACTTTTTTGAATACTCTATATCGCTATTTTCTTACAAACAGTTTATTGTATTATTAAAGTTTCGATATTTGGAAATGACCTGTACAATTTATATAAACGGCATTTAATAAAAATGTATTGGCACACAGACAATTGATCTGAAAATTTACTTGTAGTGTTTAAAAAAGTAAATTCAAATACCTTAATGTTTTAACACATGTTGCGAGATAAAATCCAAATTTACGCAAGAGGAAAAAGTTAATATCTAGACTAAGATTTTTCATAAACTAAAATATGCAAAAGTTTTCAGGAAGATACAAGGAAAGAACATTCAATGTTAATATAAACAAAAATATTTATTCATGCAAAACAGTGAATAAATAATAATTTTCTTGGAAAGATACTAGATACTTTAATAAAATGTAGCAAAAACTACTACAAGTTCTAAGGTGTCAAGTAAAGAATACATTTTAAAATGCTTATGTCCATCTAAAATAATTGAAAACTGGTATATACACACTAAAAATATATTCAATGATAAAACATAGACCAATTTTAACATAAGAGAATCCTGCATTGAAAACAACTTTGAAAATGTTTCACATATAGTTACTTTAATTACTACACAAAAAAATTTCTATCACGAGACATCAATACGATGTCAAGTAATAAATATTTGTTGTTGTGCAAATGGAAAATGAAAGTATACAGATGACTCATTGAAATTGAACTACAATTAATTAGTTAATCAATGTTGTCACTGAATGGTGTCAGTGGCACTATAAGTTTCTGTCAGAGCAAGCACTTTTTTTAAATTCCAGTTACGGAATCTTCAACATTATCTGGCAGTTCGCAGAGTAACGAAGCCATTATTTTAAACTTTTCGACTAGTTTTTGGTCTCCCTTACTTTGGTTTGACTATCATGCTGAGAGATATGTGAAATAATCAACTTCAGATGAGCCTTAGCAAGTCATGAGCTTGCTTCATTCATTCCATTAAGTTGTATACTTTTCAAACAAAACTCGCTGGGTAATGTATATTTAAAGCCATATTTTAAAATTCACTTTCTTTGAAAAAATAATCTTGATTAACAGAATTGTTTAAATTTGATTTCACTGAAGAAAAAAGCATTTCTTTCAGATTGAATATAATTTTGCATTGTTCAAAAATTTTTGATCGCCTTTGAATTCTAAGATCA